CGCCAAAAACTTTATTGTAAATAACTCTAAGTTTAGATGGCCAGGAAAACTTTAAAATAATAAAAATAAAAATGTCAGAGTGAATCAACAGTCAATGAATATGGGATACAACGGCAATAAATTAGTTTAGACCGGCTTTTTAGATAGGAATTCGTTAAACATTTTGTTTACCATACTTTCCTTTGAATAATAAACAACTTGTACTGCATAAAAAAAGTTTGTCCTTCCTTTTTGTTCAGATAAACCTGTCATACATGTTTACATGTCGGAAAACTTTCAAATTCGCGTTTCAAGTTTTGTGCTGCAATATGATTATAACCTTGGAACGGTCTTATTTAACATATTTATTGTGTGTAATACAACTTCAGCAAAGTAAAGTATACAGGTACCATAGTATGGTACAACAAAATAGGGATGGATACCCATTCAAAGTCAATTTACAGTCAATTTCAAAGCCATTTTACAAGCTCTTAACTTATAGTATTTATGACATTGAACACAACTATTCTCTCTCTCTCTCTCTCTCTCATTCTGTCTCCTCTGTTTAAATGTATTCCATTTGAACATTATGGTTTTTAAAGAGATGTACAGGTGCGGTATTTGCCGGCCCAACTGATTAGATAATATTATTGTTATCATCATCTAGTAATCGTAGGCATTCGAAACTAGAACTTATCCTTTTTCTAAAAAGACATCAGTCAGCAATAATTGTAATTCTGTAGGCGTTCGTGGCTGACGGCACGACCAGAAAACTAATCCGATTCATTTCGTTCGCCTCGGCCTATTAGTTTTTCCGTTCTTTTCCACAGTAGGATTTGTTCATTGTGTGTATTTATATATAAACTTGAGCAGGTAAACCCCCTCCCTTTTCCGCCTCAGTAAAATTCGAAAACAAGCTCTAACTCTTAAACATCCCCCCTTAAAAACCACCACCAGTTTCCACTTTGAGCGTCATCCGTGGTGAATTCAAATGTCGATTAATTAAAAAAAAAAAAAAGAAATAATAAACTTTTAGGAGCAAATTGTGAACAGCAAGTTGATGAACGAGACAGGTAGAGCTCCATCAACGACTTATACTCTTTCCAAAGGGACAATTTGTTTGATATGACTCAAATCTCTAAATTGTATTGAAAATTATCAAATTTTAATGATTTACAAAGGTACTATAACGGTACTTATAACGCTACGTTTTCTTTCCCATACTGGCTTCACTTGATGTGGGAGTACCTCAACGGATCTGTGTAATCCCACACATTTTTATATAACATATACTTTGTAATTTATAAAACTATTGAAGTGTATTTATAAAGATATTACTTTCGTTTAAATAAAGACCGCTCTTTATAAAGAAAAAGGGCGACTAAAATAAGCAGTATGTTTGCAATAAACAATATATTGTATTATACCGGTTGTATGTTGTTTTGTATTAGTGTATATGACAGGGGCAGCTAACCTTTTTAGGGTCAAGTGCCAACATTTTTCGGTCAAAACGTTTTTTTAAATCTATTCACGGGCCAAAAAAAAACAAAACGAAAAGGCTTTTTTAAGGATAAAAAAATTACACATAATATATTATACATACATTATATTAAACACACTGTATATTGTATAAGCACTGTATATTTTAATATTTAAAAAACTTAATACTATAACAATTTAATATCATAGGTAGGTGAATAATACAAAATTAATTTTTTATTTGACTATATAAATTTATTCAGTAATTTTTAGACTGAAGTTCTTGGTTGTTAAACCGCATGACAAAATTATGTTCTTTGCTGTTGGTTAAAAATAATATTTTGTTTTGATAATAGCAATAAAAATTTATTCGCTAAATATGAACCGAGAAAATAAACAAATTAAATATAAGGATTCTCTGGGGAAATGAATATATTAATTTAAAATGCATGGGCTATTATTGCTTTTAATTAGAAAATAAATTACACTTAATTAAATTCAAATGTTTGCGTAGGCATTGATTGTTGTCTTTGCTTGGAAAGTATTCAAAAAGAGTATCGAGGAAGCCAAAGCACAATTTCTCATAAACAAAATAAAATTGTTATATTGCAATATTCATTATGAAGATGTAAAAGTTAACAGAATATCAATAGATTATAAGAAATACTTATTATAATTTATGTAAAATAAATGTAAAAAAATTTTAATCAAGTTAAATACTGTTTCATACTGTTAATAATAATTACAAGAATCCGTTGAATATCGCAAGAGCTCTTCACGAGCAAGATAATGTATAGATCTAGCCAAATATGTTTTTAAAATGGGAAATCACAACAAATTTCAGTATACTTTGTTATTTTTAATAATAAAATAATATCACTTATTTTCCATCAAAACAGAATATTAAAATATATATAACTATATAATATATAGCTGAATACTTATCTGGACACTAAATATTATTGGATTTTCTTAATTTACCACATTATAAGTGTAAACTTCATTTGCCTGAAAATTCTTATATGTATTTAATCAGTTTAACGTTACTTTATTTTGTCTGATTTGTTTTTTATAAAATCAACTATTATATAAAAAATATATAAAACAATATGCATGTTTTATACACAATACATTATATTTTCCCTTGTTGTTGCTGAAAATAACTAAAAGCTTTTAAAGTGCAGTGATTAAAAAATAAGCTGTACCAAAAACCGAAAAAATCGATTTTATATTTTAGAAATTTATACTTTTATGGATTTCTTAGGTTACTAATATTATTTATTTTTCCATCTAAAAATTTGTAATAAAAATACAATGCAGTATTGATGTACTTAAAAAACTACTTTCAAAAGTTTCATCATAACTTTATATGAAAAAACTAATAATAAAAAACAGTAATAAATTAAAATTTCAATTATTTTTTTTATCAACCGGGGTTTTTTTTTTTATACAAAAATATTTAGTTGTAACATACATAATACATGTATTACTTGTAAACTTTATAAACATAAAAAAGAAACAGTAAAATTGTTTCAGAGTGTCTTATATGTACACCTTGTTACGTTGTAAGAACGTGCATTATAGTTAAGACTATGGTTTTTTTTAATTTGATTAAGTTATATAATATTCTAGAAGCAAAATCTTACCAGTAAACGTTACCTACAAATTTTAATGTTAAACGAATACCTTTTTAACCAAAAACCTTTTCTTGTGAACTGTTCGGAAGGCGTTATGTAAGTGTATAAGATAATTTACATACTACAGAAACGAAGTCGGGTACAGACCTCAGTTAAGATTAGGAGCAAAATTAACATTGCCCAGCAAGCAATTATTTGTCTCTATGTATTTATGTACATAAATTATCTTTGTCACTGAATTTTGGTGGCGTAGAAAATGCAAATCGATGGTATACTAATAAGAATCTCTTAAATAAACAACGACGTTGCTTTGTAAAACGCCATTCCGAGAACGGCTTTTAAGGAGGTTATCTTAAATAATATCGATTGTCAATACTTTTACTATTATCAACTCAAAATTGTAACTATTAAGATGATTTTAAATATTATAATTAACGCACACTTAACAGTTGAACATAGCAATCACGGATGCTATTTTGTAGCATTTTAATTGAGAAATTAACTCATAAACAAAGGCCTCTTAAAAAAAGGTCTATTATCGTCTGTCCCTCTCAAACCAAAATAATATATATATTACTTTCTTCCTCAAAAAAATACTTAACCTAACCTAACCTCACCTTACAGTACTAGTAGTTTTGGCGTATGCCATCCATTATTTTATCATCTATGCGTGTTACCCCTCGTTCGTCTCTTACTTCTGGCCAGATTCTTATTAAGTCAAGACCCAAGTCAAGCCAGACGCTGCTTTGTAAGTTACTCAAACTTATTTATGTTAGGTAGTATTATGTAATATATTATAGTGTTAAAGCCCGTCGTTTAGCCTAGTGTGCGTTACCATAGGGATTGTTGTCGCATGTGTCATCCATTGTCTTTTTTTTCCCCAGAGGACATCAATTACAATATTATAATATTTTTGAAGGGTGACTCCTACGCGAGTGACCTTTTGATTGATAATTTTAATTCTACGATATAGTAAAATTGTATATTGGTAATCTCCGACGAACTGGTACAGTAAAATTAAACAATCCGGTAAAACTAATCACTACAAAAATGTTTTTTTTTTTAAATGCAGATTGAAACATGCATAAAACGAACAAAATTCTGTACACAGAACAAAAAAAAAACGATTTTAAATTGTAAAAAAAAACAGATATAAATATAGAATAATTACGCAATACGATTTCATAAAAAAAAAATCTGTTATAAAAATAAAATAATGAAATATTTAAATAAACTCTTGACCACAAAAATAATACTCTATATTACACACAATGCTGTAATTAATTTTTTTTTTTATAAATAATTTTGACTTGATTTTATAATTTTTTTATTTTATATTCATGTATTATTTTTATTACTATTATACATATTTTATTATATTGTCCAATACTTTGAACATTTTTATCTTCATCCCTTACAGGTAAAACCAGATCAAGTACATACTTGTTGACGAAGATAAAAATGTTTTGAAAGTATCTAAGAACATAATAGTAAAATATACACTTATAAGTATGAGGAAAACAAGATTTTTAAAAAATCCAGTGTCCCGCTTCGGGCGGATCGCCCTGTAGAGTGTAGCGACAGTTTCCACTCTCCTGTCCAGCTTTCGCGTTGGGACGCCCTATGTTGTTGCGTGTACGTGTGTGTGTGTGTGTGTGCAACAACGTTGCCTATAATTATTATATATGTATACACATACACTACCTGTTACCATGGGACTGTATGACGTATATATGTGATAATATTATATACGTGTATGTATGTGTTCACGGGACGGCCGACGGGCTACGGTAAAAAGGTATGCGGTAGAGCAAGCGGGCCGCCACCATTGCGCCGGCGCTCCGTGCGCGCTTGGGTGTTGGCCACCTCCGTGGGTGGCCGCCGCCGTCACCGGCCGACCGATAGCCGTCGCGCCACGGCAGTGTCACACATACCGTCCGAGCCGAGTACCGCGACCATAATCATGGCGAGCCAGCAGCTCCTGACCGCCGCGATGATCTTGTGCTGTTGCTCGGCGCTGGATCTCAACCGACTGTACGGACACGTGCACGCCAAGAGGAACATAGGTACGCAAATAATAATAATTGTTATGTGCATCAGGCTGTATACGACTTTGTAAATCTTGTCTTAAACTTTTGTTTTTTAAACTTGTTTTTGACTTTTGTTTTTTTATTATTATTTTTTCGCCAAATTCGCTTACAACATACTAAGGGTTTGTTCGGTCACGCCGAAAGTTCATTATGGACCGTTTAATCGTTGCCCCGTTAACTCATTGACTGACAAGCTACACAAGAGCTTTGGGCTTTCGATAGTTGATTAATAATGTGATACTCCGTTGGTACCGTTCTGTTATCTTTGTTGACATGTTGGTGAATTGTCAAAAGCGCGGTATTATGTAAAATTAGAGGCAAAATTTGTTAACAATTGTGTTTACATCCAAACGAATATATAGTGATACCTTTGAAAGCGATTTCCCAGAGAACCTCGTGTGCGTTATTATAGGTGTTTTATCTCTAAAATCACTTTGAAAAGTAATATCCGTTTCGGTTTTGCGTGAACATGTTTAGATGACATGTCTAGAGGCTGAAAAATACCGAAAAAGAGTCATAGCTACACATCACAGTTTAACGTTTAAATAAAGATTTTGCAAACAATTCCCTACGCCTAACTCTTTAAGAAATACATACAGGGTAGGACGTTATCCTCTTAACGTGAAATGGATCCTTATAGACCCAAGTTATACAGATAAATATATTATATGACGGTAGATCCGGAATTATACGACTGCATCATTTTATTTATATTTTTTAGGTCGGTCGAATTTTAACCAAATGCCAATACCGGTGTCGTTTAAAACCGAAAAGCCTGTTGGAGTCTACTTAGGGTGGTCCTATTTTATTTTTATAGACATACGAATCTTTGGCTGCTTTACTAGGTTTTGTTGAAAATAGATTTTTTACTTTTCTTGTAAATAAAAAAATTGCGTTTTAAAATGTTTAAAAAAAATTAAAATATATTATAATTTAATATATTTTAATAAATTTAATTTTATTAATTTATTATAATAATATATTTTATATTATAATACTTATTTAAAATATTATATTATTATTGAAAAAATGAATTTATCAAAAAACATTTTTCATTTTTGTATGATTATTTTTTCTCTAGCTCCATGTAGGTAATTAAAGTTTCGGTCAAAACGAATTTAAACATTTTAGACCGGAAAAGAAATACCCCTAATGAATGTTTTAGCATCATTCAAATAATTCATCAAGGTTATAAAAAAGAAAAAACGATTTATGAGAGCGCTTATAGTAAAAAAAAATGTTTTACCTATAATATCTTGACATCAGCTAACTTACCGGATTTAACTTTCAGCTGGTAAATAGTTCACAATACTTTATTCCAACCAACCGAATAAAGTTAGTATCTTTAACGCATTATGGTAAGGCTCTAACCCGCATTTAGAATGATACAATATTTGATTTTTTTTTTCCATCAAATAATCAAAAAAATAATAGGTTTATTATAATGTTGGAAAATTTGTAGTCAATATATATATAAACTCAAATGCTTGGAACTTTTTTAATTTTTAAGCTCAACACACATTCAACTGTTGTAATATTGTGTAATGTATCCTAACACTTGTGTTCATTCAAAACAATATTTTTATAACTATACAAACTGAAAACTATTTTTTTTTTTTAAACGTCAGTCACGCACCCTTTGAAATTGTTTTGTCAGTATTACACGCGTTGTAAACCAAGTCGAAAATAATACTTCAAAAGCGAATAATTTAATACACACAAAAGGCGCGGAAATGTAATGGACAATTTGACTTTGTTGCCGGACGGTCGTTTTACTGCAAATCACACAATCAAAGTTGTAAAAAGAGTCAGTTAAAAAGAGTCGTTAGCTGTTGTATTATATTTTGTATACATATATTTTATCGTTTTTCATTACGATTGCTTATCCGGCGCTTCGGGTAGGCAAATCCGGTACAGCCGTGCGTAGGTGAACAGTCTGCTGTATAAGCACATTTCCGTTGAGTTTATGATGTAATATATTGTTACACTATTATATATACCCGGTCGGCGGATTTAAAGGGGCTGCACGCACGCAATCCGGCTTAAGTGGATGACTTGCTGCATAATATTATCAGGGAAATGGAAATAATACGGCGGGGGGCTGCAAACGGTTTTGAGGGGTAACCAACCCGCCCCGATAAGCCTCTTTTCCCGTTTTAAATTCCCGTTCAACAATATTCTATTGTTCTATTCAATATCCGTTTTCAAAAGTCCGTATAGTTTTTAAATATTGACACCTTTGTCGAGGGTTAGGGACGAAATTTAACTCTATCAAATCCAAAACATATACATTATGATCTATGGAAAAACCCACAGTAAGGGAGAAATCATAATTTTATAAATATATATATTTGTTTTTTCAATAATCATATTTAACACAAGTGTGCATGCTATTAACCTTGTGTCGTCTCAACGCTGTGGGACGGACCAGCGGTTTTTTTTAAAGGACTTATTATGTATTGTAGTAGAATATAATAGACAGTATAGAACATGTTTTAGTCCCGCTATAACCTATATAATAGTAGTATTTATGACCCGTGGGCATCATGAAGGAGAACACAATGGGCTTTGTGTTAAAAACGATATCAATAAAAAAAATAGAAGTAGGTATAGACCTTTTTTTTTCCACGACATTATTGATCCCACCGTCATTCGGATTTAGTGGATTTAGACTCTATACCGAGTTTGCAGAAGTGTAAATAAACAATCAATTTGTATGCTATCCCACGTTCGCATGTGCATCAGTGAATACATAATAGTATTTTCCGGATTATCCTGACGATAGAGAGAGATAGAGCAAGAGGAATACAACAACTTATGTTATAGGTTGGATATTAGAGTACAAATTAAACAACATTTCTTCATTAATGAAATGTGGGTTTTGTATTATTAATTATGGTTGTATTTTCGAATCAAACGTTTGTTTTGTATTTGATCGCATAAAGCAAAATATACATTTTTTGTTTTAAACTTTTGAAGTGTTATTATAGATTTGGTGTAATAGTATTGAAATTCCAATGATCCGGCCTGAACAAGTTGTGTTTATACATCATTCTAGTATACACATTTTATACATTAAAAAAAAAACTAAGGCTAAAGTAGTCTGTTACATGTAACTTTTAAAGCAAATTGATGTCCTCATCTCAGTACCTGTATACATACATTTTTTTCTTCCCTAAGCCGTAAAAATGTTTTTGCGGATAACCCGGGTTTGGGGGCGGGCATATTTGTTTTCTTTTTTTTACACGGTGTTTTTAATGCTGTTTTATTACAACAAATCTAACGTCGGCTTACCACACTGACAACGCGACCGCCGGTGGACATTAAGAGACTGTCCGTCTGGCTTTCGCTGTAAAGATATCCGCCTGGTCGTTTGGCTGTGCAAATAAAGTAGTTTATGTCCGGAAAGAAAAATTAACTTTCTTCCTCGCCACGCTGTAACTACTTTAAGAACTCGCAGCATCTTTATTCTCTAGTATATTATGTGTGTGTGTGTGTAGTAAATGTACACAAAAATGAGCTGCAACGTGTGTTTCCCAAGGGGTAGACAACCGACAACAGATATATATATATATATATAATATATTGAATTTCTGGACTTGTATGCCTAGCACTTACTTTATCGTGTGTCTGAACGCAATGTAGCACAGATTGGATAAAAAAAAACAGATGGTGCACTTCGGTATTTACGGATAACCTGAGATACGTGTAACCACTTACAAGAAATTCGATTATTGTAGAAAACATTTTACTCTAATATGCTATCAAACAAAGTGTATAACATTCACAGATATAGATAGGAAACTAAATTGCATTGGGATTAATCTAAAATATTGTTCATAAACGTTTGCCCGGTGCAATTAATTCTCCCATCTTTGTTAATGCAGTTACATTTTTAAGAGTCCCTTCTCGTCCAACTCGATGTAACGCCCATTTTGTTTTGTTCTTTTCTCGTCCACCAAATATTTCTTCAATTCTCCAATTATTTTTCATCTTATGCGTACTGCTAATTAGTATCCATTTTTGTGTTTCTGTGTTGTTTCTATGTTTTATAATTGTTTAGTACTTATTTTAAGTACTAATATGTTTTGTTGTATAAGTATAGCACTGTAAATTGTGTTTTGGCATCTTGTGGCTGTTAGGTTGTCACTTATTTCAGGAGTATAACCAGTTCAGAATTACTTTATAAAGCCAAAATTGAAAAAGTTCATGCCATCCAAAAAAGCATAATTATAATTTATGTCAGTTTCGAAAGATTGTTCTTACTGCGAAAAGCTATAGTTTTGGGAAAAAAACTCCCACTTCTTTTTGAATCTGCTTTATTATTAATGTTCTTATTAAATTACATTAAAAATCAGTACAACATATTGTGTAAGCTTTTTCTTTGTACACAGCCATATTTGTTCTAATTTTTAAAGTGTATTTGTTTGTGTTAATCTATATATGTATTGATTTATAAGTGTTCTAACTTGGGTTGTAAGCAATTGTAGCTTGTAATGTATACCTAAAACATAAAAATATTTTAAAAAGCCGCAGTTGCAATTTTTGGGTTATATTAAATTGCCAAGTCCGTCACTAACTCATTAAGTTCCGTCTAGTCCGTCTTGGTTTTTTTTTAATATTTTTTACTGGATAGAATAGCGGTAGATGAAGTCCTATGCAAACTTGCATCGATGCATTAGTTAAGATCAATATCCTAAGTACATCAAAGATTAGTTTTTGAGTTCTTAGGTAACTATCACAAATAGTTGGCTATTTATATCTTAATTTGGTATTCATCACAGGTAACCAATTAAATTTTGTATATATTTGTGGATATCATCAGTATAAAAAAAAAATAACCTACCGACAGCTCTGGCAATGCTCGACGTTTAAATGATTTCGTTTTACCTATACAATATTCAGTGGGTATAGCTTCGTGCGGTTCTCATCAAATATTAACCACCAAATCTACAACATCACCGTTCACTCGAGCG